AAAAAAAAAAAAAAAAGGTTCTAAAATTTTTTTTCGAAAACTTACAACTGGCTAAGTCAATATAACATTGTTGAAAATCGAGTGGATAATATTCAAGTGACATTGGGCATGATAAAACCAATGAAAGACTGCAAAATTACACATTTGTAACAATAAGAATAGTTAGAAAAAGTTAAGGATAATATCAGATAACTAATTTGATTTTGAGCATAAAACATATGACATATGACTTTTTTTTTTTGAAAATTACACTAACAATTAGTGGTTTACCTGTTGGTCTACCTCTTACTTCTACTTCTTTTTTTTTTTTTTCTACAGCTATACAAAACCTACCGAACACTGTAAAGGATACGTCCATCAGCATGAATACGAATTAGTACATTTGGTTTATCAATCAAATGCCTACGAGCCTCTCTGTAAAAGACAAGTTTTAAACAGATTGACTGATCACAAAAAACACACTTACAGCAATAGCATAATCAGTTGATTATTGTTTTTACATCAATCTTAACACCATAAAATTATGGTCAACCAGTGCTGAAAGCATTAGCTTACTTCTCATTTTGGAAAAATGTATCCGGCATCCAAATTTGCTGTGAAGAATCTGGCGTTTCGCTTACAGTAAGAATCACAAAATTTGGTACCTGAAAAAAAGCACTAATAATAATTAGGAGCAAAAGATGACAACAACACAGTTCAAATTTACAAATCTAAAATGATAATTGAAAAAGATATTACGTAAGTTAATGATTTTTTTATACATGTCTTTAGAAAATTACAACATAAAACCAGAAATTAGCTGTGATTTTTGCTAATCAATTTTCACTTACCTTTTTATTCCTTTTTTTTTTAAAAATTATCTCAAAAAAAATAAATGATTTTTTGTTGCAATTTTTAATGTTATTAAATAAGGGAATTATAAGAAAAATTTTATTTGTTTACATACTATTACAGATATGTTTATGTCATGCAAAATGTATAACGTAACCTCAGAAGTAGCATTTTGAAGTTTCTGAAATGATAGCCTCTCATCATGCCATTCTTCACGGAAAGTAAATTGAGCACTATATTCCATATTTACATCATCAATCTTCGAGATTGACCTGAGGTATATATTTACAGCAACCATTACCGGACCACCAGTATCTGCAAAATGTATATACAGATTATTTAACGAGCAATATATCTAAATCAAAAAAAAAAAAAAGTACAAAAGCAGAAGGCCGAGTTTATCTACAAAACAAAGAAAAAGTAATTTTTTGATGTTGCAACAAAAAGTTTTAGCTTTATACAGAAAAAACAGTGAATAAGTTAAATAAAAAGAAAGAATAAACAAGAAACTCTTCTTCTAACTTCTCGCTTTGATTCAGAGTCATGTACAAGAAAGCTGCATTTTAAGCAACACTTTTTCAGTTTAGGATAAAGAAAGAAAAATAATATCGAGACTAAAAAACAATAACAGTGTAGCTTTTGTTTCTGTTAAAAGAACAAGCTTGAAAATTTGAGCTAAGCTGACAATGTACTAAGAGACAATTTGTTTGCTTTTGTCTATTACTCTTGCTACCTTTTGCTTATCAGAAATTAATAAAGTCATTTTTTAAATTTTGTATCCGTTCTCTTCTAAAATAACTATTGCCCATAAAGAATTGTTAATTCAATAAGCAGTTTTTAATTATTTAGCAGTGTATATGTAGAAAGAGTATGAATACTTATGAAATTGCTAATGCTATGTTTTCCGGTTTAACTTTTTAGCTTCCCTGCTTTTCATTTGTCAGGTTGACAGCTATTTCACTCGAAGCATGAAAGCAAAACAAAACTGTTGATATCTTATAGCATACCTATAAAAAAACGCTAATATTGATAAACTTTAGCGCGTTTATTGAATGTCATTTTACAGAAACTATTGTACAAACAACTCCAACGATTTCCTGACTAAACTGAAAGGCCAAGAAACGAAACTGTTAAATGAGTGTAGCGGTGAAGAAAAAGAATGCTGTAATCAAGACGGGGTTTCACTTCTTTTGACCACCCTCAAAAGGTGCTGTTATAAAAATGCAATCTAGCTGTGTTTAGGTAGATTATGATTGATTAGCGAGCTGAAAACATCCTTGACATCATTTAAGTGATAGAATAAATTTCTTAAGTGCATTTGTTTATCTATTCTTTGTTTTGCCTTCTTCAAAGATTTGTTGATATGTCAACAAGGTAGAAGCATACCGTCAATTGTTATGCTATTTGTTAATGCTTCAACAGTTGTAGTGTTCAATTGTAAATTCCTTTTTTATAAAAACAATGCTATAAAATGTAAAAGAAAAAAAAATTAATGAAAAAAAAAAGCATTCAACTTCCCTGCGATTAGCAGCATTTTTTCCTTTTAGTCTTATTCTGATGATTTTATAAAGATCAAAAAGTAAATTAGCTGCATTCAAACGTTTTAAATTCAGATTTATTAAGTGAAAGCTGACAAAGAACAAAAATAAGCAATCTAAATGAAAAAGCTTGCTTATTCTTCTTCAAAAAGAACACCGCTTTTTACATTCATTCTCTATTTTTCCTATACATCTATTTTTTCACAAACAATACATAATTCTTTTCGCTTTTGTCTCATTTTCCTTTTCTTTGACACATCAAACAAACAAAACATAAAAAAAAAGAAAATTTGTGAAAAATTTCTACGATAGAAATATTTGAAAAGTAGATATTGGTTAAAAGTCAGAAAAAGAGAAGTGGAGAGGATAATGCAGCAGGATTTCAGGTGCAGTGTGGTAACTGACCGGGGAACTTTGGCACAGAGATCAGAAGCAAAAAAGTTCATCGTAAAAGCTGTTACAGTTTCGGGAAAGCAAAAAAGTAGATGCTAAGAAAAAAAAAACGAGTTTAAATATTTTTTATTTTATCGTTTTGTCGAGAAAAAGTTTTAGCACCAAAAAATGTTATCCTCTTTTTTCTTCTTTTTCTTTTCATTTTTCATTATAGTGAATTCATGTAGTTTTCTGAGTGTTCTTCAATTTCGTCGCCGCTGTCGCCGTTGTTGTTGTTTGTTTATATTTGTTTAGGCAACTGA